ATATGACCAACAAAATAATAAGAAGTAGACTAGTTCGTAATGCATATTTTATAGATCAACAAGATTGATTCACATTGTTTTGATAGCTATTTCTTAGAATCCTCACATCTGCGGAATCAAGATTTTTGAAGTTTGTATTTAATTTTTTATATATTTTTATGTAATTACTATAAGTATTTACAATTTGTTTATGGATAATATATGTATATGTGTGTGTATATATATATATATATATATATATATATAATGACCAACAAAATAATAAGAAGTAGACTAGTTCGTAATGCATTTTTTATAGATCAACAAGATTGATTCACATTGTTTTAATAGCTATTTCTTAGAATCCTCACATCTGCGAAATCAAGATTTTTGAAGTTTATATTTAATTTTTGTTTTGAAAACCATAAAAACTAGTAAGTATGAAATCCATGATTTAACAAAATATGTTTTACTTAACATATTTTATTTATATAACTCATATTTTATTTTAAAGTCATAGTAATAATGTGCTATCAAAACTTAAGATGATGCAAATGGGTAAAAAGAGTTGGACATAAAAATAACAATAATAGAGTCTCACTTATAACCTCCTCATATTCATATCCTCTCCATTAATTATCTATAAATTTTTTATTTAATCTCTCACTCATAACCTCTCCTATTCCTTAATTTCATCCATTAATCTCAATCACTAACAATAAGGAACTCCCCAAATAGAACCCTTTATTTTTAGCAGAAACTAAACATACTTAATTTTTGTAACCTCAAAATAACAAATTAATCTCCCACACTCTCTCTCTTTCTTAATTTTCAGTAATAATGTGCTATCTTTATCATAGAGAATAGTTCCCTGTATTCATATAAATGAGTTTGAGGTTTTCAGGTTTTGCACTTACTATGTATATGCAAAAATATTTAGCACTAGCATAATATGCACATAGCAGTCCATATTTTTCAGCGTACCGAAGAAAAAAGATTAAAAATTTTAATATCAAATAATATTCACTCTGCTATTGTGGAAATTAAGTTTGAACTGAGGATATACTTTGGTCATACCCATCATGATGGTTCCTTAAAAAATCATGTACTGAGTTGCAAAATTCATCCTTCACAAAAACTTTTGTATGATTAAAATTTGTAGGTTTAACTTAAAAATATTGTTAGAGAAAAATAATGACACATATTACTGTAAGACCCATAACTTTTTGTTATGATGTTTGTTCTTAACAATCGAAGAATCTCTGATTAAGTCTTTTCAGAGGACTATATAGATTTTGGTTAATTTTTTGGCTCTGATAGAATATGATATTAGTTGTTATAGAACTTAAACTTTTTCTAATTAATACAAAATATTTAAATTATTGTTTAATAGTCAGTATGTTATTTATCCTACCTAATGGTATAACTATATTACGAATTTGTGAATAAAAAACCCCAGCATGTGCTAAATTATAAACGGTAGACATTACATTAAATTATAAAACAAATAGAATTATGCCTTTTAGGTTCACAAATTGAACAATGTCTTTCAGGTATTCCATAAGTTTTATTGGAAAGCTCAGGTTTCATAAAACTAAAAATAAAAAAAAAAATTATAGAGTGAACCTTTAAATTTGTAGAACAACCTTGAAACTTCATAATTTTACAGATTTGCCATAAAATTAGCAGAAAGGACATTGAAATGTCATAAATAAACCTCATAAAAGATTATATTTACTCTAGGATTTTAATGATAAAAAGATGGAAAAAAAATCCTCAAATTACATCTAACACCAAACTTATTATAAAAAAAAGATAAGCATAAAATTAATCCAACAACGTGCAACGTGCACTATACTAGTGTAATATATATATATATATATATATATATATA